GAATCTGTATATTGCTTTGGGCAGGATGGCCATTTTGATGGTATTAATTCTTCCTAGCCAAGAGCATGGGATGAGTTTCCATTTGTTAGTTTCCTCTTTAATTTCTCTTAAGAGTGTCTTGTAGTTTTCAGGGTATAGGTCTTTCACTTCCTTGGTTAGATTTATTCCTAGGTATTTTATTCTTTTTCATGTAATTGTTAATGGAATTGTTTTCCTGATTTCTCTTTATGCTAGTTCATCATTAGTGTACAGGAAAGCAACTGATATCTGTGTATTAATTTTGTATCCTGCAACTTTGCTGAATTCCAATATTAGTTCTTGTAGTTTTGGAGTGGAGTCTTTAGGGTTTTTTTTATTTTGGTAGCATTAATCTACAGTTACATGAGGAACATTATGTTTACTAGACTCCACCCATCACCAAGTCCCCCCCACATACCCTATTACAGTTACTGTCTATCAGCGTAGTAAGATGTTGTAGAATCACTACTTGTCTTCTCTGTATTGTACAGTTCTCCCTGTGTCTCCCCCACATTATACACTATACATGCTAATCATAATGCCCCCTTCCTTCCCCTCCTTATCCCTCCCTTCCCACTCCTCCTCCCCAGTTCCTTTCCCTTTGGTAACTGTTAGTTCATTCTTGGGTTCTGTGAGTCTTCTGCTGTTTTGCTCCTTCAGTTTTTTCTTTGTTCTTATACTCCGCAGATGAGTGAAATCATTTTATACTTGTCTTTCTCTGCCTGGCTTATTTCACTGAGCATAATATGTGTAGCTCCATCCATGTTGTTGCAAATGGTAGGATTTGTTTACTTCTTATGACTGAATAATATTCCATTGTGTATATGTACTATCTCTTCTTTATCCATTCATCTACTGAAGGACAGTTAGGTTACTTCCATTTCTTGGCTATTGTGAATAGTGCTGTGATAAACATAGGGGCGCATATGTGAATGTTTAGGGTTTTTATGTACAATATTATGTGATCTGCAAATAGTGACAGTTTGACTTCTTCTTTCCCAATCTGGATGCCTTGTATTTCTTTGTTTTGTCTGATTGCCATGGCTAGGACCACCAGTACTATGTTGAATAACAGTGGGGAGAGTGGGCATCCCTGTCTTGTTCCCTGTCTTAGAGGAAAAGCTTTCAGCTTCTCACTGTTAAGTATGATGTTGGCTGTGGGTTTGTCATATATGGCCTTTATTACATTGAGGTACTTGCCCTCTATATCCATGTATGTAAAAAAAGATGTTTTGTGGTGACAATTATTTCACAAAGTAATTATATTCAAATAACTTGACATCATGCTTTGGCAATTACAGAACCATGATTTTGACACATGGCAATTTATAAGTTAAGCAAATGTGAAATGCTAAAATATGTGAATAACTGTTGTTCTGTTTAAGAGTGCTTCAAAATTTGGTAATGACTTAATTTTTTCAGTTAACAACCAGCCCACAGTACAGCATACCAAGTCATAAAGTACAAACCCAAGGAAGGTAATACTTTTACTAAGTTATAAAACTTTGACAAATCAATACAGTACTCTTAATAATCATATTTTTATAGGGGTCATATATTGCTTTAGTGATAATTTTCACTCCGAAAAATGTCATTTAAGTACCAAATCCAAACACTGTGGGTTTCAGTGGTGGTTTATAGCAGAGCAAGTTATTCTATACCAATCAACATCTTTTAAAACTATACAATATCTCCTTTTCAAATGAGTTCCCTCATACAATCATCTGACGTTTACTGCAGCAAGGCAACTGTGTACACTTAAGAGATGGCTCTGCTTTGTTCAGAGTTGGTCCAAAGCCAGGTAGAGTTCCAAAGCATGAAAAGCTTTAAAATTCTACCTTAAGCAGATTTAATATTCCATACCAATTTCTAAGAACTTTTCAAAAATTGTTAAATATTCACATAAATATCAGATTCTTCAAAACTAGTCAGTTATTTCAAACAATGCTAATTTCAGTGATCCCTTTTCCTCAGAAACCCTGCATCTCTTTGTATTGATCAAAAGTCACATAGCCTTTTCAGTTTATTTAAAAAAACTACCTAAAATATAGTTTTACTTTTTAAATAACAAATAAATATATTGCTGGTTTGTAGAGACCTGGGGGCTCGGGTGTTGTAGACCAACTTCCTTTTTCATCATTTTCTACAAATGCTGCAGCCACTGGTGTCCTCCTGCTCACTCTTGCCAAAGCTGTCAATTCCCTAAGCTCAGCATTTAAT